GACTAGTGTAGGTCATGGATTGTAAAATGGTAATCATCCAGGAACATAACAGTAGAAAGAAAGAAGTAGGGAATTAGAAAAAATCACTATTAAAACGAATGGAGTAAGAGGAAATTAGTTAGTCTATAGAAAACAACAGAGCAAGCAATTAATATAATCCAGTGAAAAATGTACGCTCAGTGTGTTTCCATTAAACTCATAAGTGAAAGAGGATTTTGCCACGGTTTTCTCTTTAACGAGGAAGGTGTTGTACAACGAGACCCTCTAGGACTGTTCGAAACGAGTGAAAACTACTGTTGGACACCCGAACCGTTCCATATTTATCGCTGGGGAGCTTGCCGCTGGTTGAACAAAACAGCAAGTGAATACGAATACAATGTGCGGACTTTCCAGCCAACCAACACGTATGAATTAATCGGGGAAATAATATATAATAACTCATCAGAATTTCAAGAAATATGCAAGGAAAGTGTAACGAAGATGGGATATTCACTGCTAGGTTCAGTAATACCAGGACTCACAGTGGCACAACAACAAGTCAGAGGCAAACGTTTTACATTAAGAAACAATAATGAAAAATTTCAATATCCTAAATATCTTACAGTACCAAAAGATAATTTATTCAGGAGCCAAAATTTGCTATTTCAAACCGTGAGTGAAAGTACTGATATCTTCATTCAGCATCTGTTTAAGATAGATTATGGTAGTCTTAATACAGATAACCACCTTACGTTTGGATATTGTGCAGTGTGTCAAGTACCATTATTAGCAGTACGTAATTGTCGTTACTGCACGGCGTTACATTTAAATAAACAGTGTAAGGACGTGTTGATGCAAATTTTGGAGTGCCCCTTTGCAGAACATCGGAAGTCATTAGAAAATGATGACGAAAGGTGCCGGTTCCATCAAGGAGGTAGTGAATTAATTCAGGCGTGGAGTAGGCAAGTAGACCAGTTATTTTCAGAAAACAGTAACTATTGGTTAAATCTTAGTGAATAAATTTTTTTTTGGGGGCTATTTTTATATAAAAATAGAAATAAATAAATAAATTATTATTAGAGTGAATTTATACTGCAATCTCCTGGTAAGGCTCGTCCAAAAACAGTGTACATAGAATACACTAAATTCGACACCTGGTTTTCGAATAAATTAAGTAGTATCTAGCAGTAGGAAAGAAATAAAAATTAGACTTTTATAGCTAGACTCGTGATTAAGCTCCCGGTTTGGAAGGTAGAATAAAATAAAGGGGACTTAGTTGTCAGTAAGACAGCATCGTGTCAATTAGTTTTGTGTCCCTGTCTCTATAAGTAATTGTATAACATGTTCGTGAGTAAGGTCTTGCAAAATTTAGAAGAAGTTTATGGAGAAAACCACGGATTTGTGATCACAAAAGAAAGAGTGATAAGTGATCCCTTAAACTTGTTCAACAGTCCGGAACCATACGACAACGTGGTTTTACCGGAAATGTATCGACGAGAAATCATCTTGTGGTTAAACAGTGAAAATGGGGCGACCATCCAGAGCGGGTAACCCTACAAATCAGGCCCAAGTCTTAGGGCAGATTTGCTATGAGAGCTGCATCGGAAGATTGCGCTCATATGATGGGATACGACCTAATCCTACCGATAGTACCCGGACCAGATATAACGAATAAGCAGCTTCGAATCATCATGAAAAGGTGTTAGTTAAGATACGAAAATGATCAGTTACAATATGTAGTGTATGTTCCTCGACCACTGGATGAATGTACGAGAGAAGATATGCAAGTATGGATAGACTACCTTATAGAATATTTTCATGGAGAAAGAATAGAACGCGGAAGAACATACGCCGAATTTATACATGTGCCTTATGGAGGTACAGGTTTTGCGGACCTATTAACCTTTGATAACTGTGTGCAGTGCTCCCGGCCTTTACCTGTGTGGCGTTTTTGTAAGCTGTGCATTTTGAAATACTTAAGCCACGGACAAAAATATTTTTCTCATCTGTTGGGAGTGCTGATCAACTGCCCATCAGAATGCCCTTCAACCTGAATAAAAGTGCCGTATATGTAAACCTGGCACCATAGGAGAAGAAATATTTGTAAGAAGATTAAATGTAGTGTAGAGTGGTGGTTTCTTGCTTTTTGAAAATTAGAGACTTTATGTTAAGTAGTGCTTCAAAGTGTTTCTCTTTCAAACATACAGTGCCGGTCAGCCACTTTTACCCCCCCCCCCCCCCCACGGGCAAAATCAGTCTAACTTCAAAGTTTTATATCTCTGGTAGAAATTAACGTACAGAAACGCGCGTGAGTGCGTTTGAAAGGTCTTTCGGAGAGCTTTCAAATGATATGACTCACGGTTGCCATCGATTGTTTTTTTAAATTTTGCAACAATTATGCAAAATTGAAAATTCTGAAATTTTTTTATTATTTTTAACAATTAGCCAATTTTGGAAAAAAAATCGTACAAAAATTTGAAGTACACCATTTTTTAGCTATTACCAAGCCCTATCTGAATCACTCATCAAAAATTTATTTTCGTCAAATATGACGCGCGCACGGGCATTTTTTCCTGGAAGTGACAGTTTTTTTCAACATTTTTTATCTCCGTCAAATTGTAACAATCGAAAAAAATTTTATAGGAGAAAAAATGTTTGTTTTTTCACGTAGAATACTGCAATAATTTTTTTTTTCGGTTTTTCGAAAAATTTTTTTTTTCGGTTTTTTTCAATTTTTTTTTCTCACAGTCGGTACGCTAAAAAGATGAGAAACCAAAAAAAAAAAATTTTTTTCCACCCATTCAATAATACTACATAACAAGTATCGTAAATTACATAAAAAAAAAAATCTTTTTTTTTCGACCTTGAAAAATAATTTAAACCGAAAAAAAAAATTTTTTGTAAAACCGAAAAAAAAATTATTGCAGTACTCTACGTGGAAAAACAAACATTTTTTGTCCTATAAATTTTTTTCGATTGTTACAATTTGACGGAGATAAAAAATGTTGAAAAAAACTGTCACTTCCAGGAAAAAATGCCCGTGCGCGCGTCATATTTGACGAAAATAAATTTTTGATGAGTGATTCAGATAGGGCTTGGTAATAGCTAAAAAATGGTGTACTTCAAATTTTCGTACGATTTTTTTTCCAAAATTGGCTAATTGTCAAAAATAATAAAAAAATTTCAGAATTTTCAATTGTGCATAATTGTTGCAAAATTTAAAAAAACAATCGATGGCAACCGTGAGTCATATCATTTGAAAGCTCTCTGAAAGACCTTTCAAACGCACCCACGCGCGTCTCTGTACGTTAATTTCTACCAGAGATATAAAACTTTGAAGTTAGACTGATTTTGCCCGTGGGGGGGGGGGGTAAAAGTGGCTGACCGGCACTGTATATATGTGTAAAATTACCTTGTGTTTAGTACGTAGTATTTATTATAACTTCGTTATGTGCAAAGGATAAGTATAAGTATATTATCTTGATGTACGAAATTTCAAATAGGCAGGTGCAACTTGCGAGCGCCCTGCGTCGCTAGTCTTCAGGGGCGGGCGTGTTACGTCGAGAACGAGTCAGACTATTTTATAGCGGTAAAATTTGAATTTTTTATGGAAGGGGAGTTCCCGTAATTAAAAGCAATAGTTATTTAATAGCTGACTTTAATCTCGGTGATGCACTTACCCTTTCTGGGATTAACTCTTTATTAATTAGTTTTTATGTATTTTGTGCTATAAAAGACGACGTAAAACAATTGTAAGACACACTCTGTATTCTACTCGGTGATACTACGCACCTTCTGTAATTTAATCAATAAATATTATAAATCTATAATAACTTATTTGAGAGTTATACCTAATCTACGTTACTCCTCTGGGTTCTGAGGTACGAGTTTCTGGACTAGTTAAACTACAGGTAAATTATTTAATTATTACTTTTTCACTCAGTACCTTAGATACGTTGCCGCCCTGCTTTCGTTTGAGTCTCGCACCCGTGGTAAAGCGCTTACGCGTAAGCCGAAAAGAAACAGTCACGTTTGAGTAATTCTTGTCAATTCGCGACCGTGACGTGAGACGTAACCATACTATGAAGGAAATAGCCACGATTGCATCGTATTAAGTATTTTGTATAAATATCTGCAATTTGTATTTATGAAATGATAACTAAAAATGAATTTAGTTTTAATAAACTATAGCAATTCATAATTACGTAAGGTCATATGTTTACGAATTTCTACCCTTACTGATAGGAATACTGGCCTCAATACCATCAGAGCATTCTAATATTCTAAATAGATAGTATAAATAAGTATTAGATAGAATAATAATAATATTAATAGTAGAGCTGCGGTTGCTCAGTGGATAGAACGGAGGACTCTAACGCGGGAGGCCTAGGTTCGATTCGCGGTGCGGGCACCTCTGACTTTTTTCGAAAGAAAAATTTGTGTATGTGCCAAAAGCAACAACACCGCGGTTCTCGCAGTGGTTCGGATTCCACTGGCTTAAGTAATGTAAATTACGGAGCATTAAACTGTAGGTCCAGTAAAGCGAGGCAGGCTGACAACCTCGCTTTACTATAGGTTTCGTCGCAACGCAAGGCGTGAGCTACTCTGGTAACAAAATCGCACGAAAGTGCACCAAAAAATTACAAAAAACACCAGAGAGTTCATGCTGAGCACCCACCGTAGAAGCGAATAAATGACTATCTTTGGAAACCGCGGTAGGTCGATGCTTCTCGGGAACACCTCACGGCACACAATATGGAAGTGGTGGATGAGGTGCCCTGAAAACCGATTGTACGGTGCAGGGTACAGGAAACTAAAACTAAACTAAACTAATATTAATAGTAGATAGAATTAATAATGGTGATAGATTATGCTATCATCATTAGATATTTTTATTATTTTTATACACATAAAAAAATTGCTGTGTAAAATACATTGTAATAAGAAGTATAGTAAAATAGGGTTTCAGTTTCTTATAATTCAAATGATTTAAAATTTATTAAAATGAATTTTGATTTCAGATGGATGAAGGTCATGACCGACGTGAAGGTTTTTCTGAAGAAGATGAAGATGTCCTAAGTGATGATGATAATAATGGCTCATCTACACTATCAAAAATAGCTTCGAAAAATATGAAAGGAACAGGTTTTAGAATGGAAGTTATCAGTTTTTAAAGGATGTATTTGATAATATAACGATTGAAATTTTGTTTTATTTTTGACTATTTAAAAAAATGATATCCCGTGATGTACCAATGTATTCCCCTATATTTGTACTTTAAAAATAATAATTAAGATCCACTACATACGTATATAGCGCACTAAGAGATACAGTAAATGAACAAATTTACCTCCCTTTTGTTTTAAATATTGATTAATAACGATCAAATAAGAATAAAATTTAATCGACTAGTTTGATATAACTGTATTGAATATATTAATATCTTTATTTTCTTTACGACGTAATCTCTTCTTATTCCATCTATAATACGCAGGCTAAGGGTAAATCCCCGAGTCATCTAAGCCGCTTCCATTCCGCGTACATGTTAGTATATAGCGGAATCGGAGATGTTTGTGATATGATGCAGTGTACAAATGATAACGATGCTGAAAGTAGTATACGTATTGAACTAGCATTTGATTGGCATTTGCTTTTTGAAGATTCTGAGGCATGTGATACGAGAGTCACTGATGATAACATGCTAATCGAATTTGCAATTTTTATGCAGACAGACTACGTAGTTAACACAAATATACTATATTATGCACTAGAAATTTAGCTTCGAAGTTAGTTTTATACGGTTGTGGTTTTATACTGTTAGTGGTAAATCTACTGATTAACTCGATTATAGCTAACAATGGTATATAACAAGCTATGATTTAACTTGCTTGTACTAAAAAAGTTGACAAAAAATCTTATTCATAGAGTCGTCTAATCCGGTTACATTCCGCGTATGTCTTTTAATAGAGAGTAACAGATGTCGAAAATTATTAATCTCCGAATCGTCTAAGCCGCTTACATTCTGCATATATATTAAAATATAACGAAATTAGACTCGTTTGCGAAATGAAGAAATTAATAAACGAAAATGATGCTAAAAGCAGTATATGTATCTCGTTAGCGTTTGATTTGTTTTCGAAGAATCTGAGGTATCTGATTTGAGGAATTGGTGATAAAATGCTGATCGAGTTTCTGAACTTTATGGAGACACAGAATGCAGTTGTGCAAATATACTACATGAATACATAGAAAATCGGCTACGAAATTAGTTTTACAGAATTTCTTTGAGAGGTAAATCTACGGATCTACTCGACTATACATGATTCGTAAATAGTTAATATAATATTCAGTCGACTCACGAGATAACAAGAAATCTAGACTGACACAGGTTTATAACAAGGTATGATTCAACGTTCTTTTACTAAGAAAGTTGATGAAAATACTTATTTAATACAGGAGTTTTGGAAGGTCAATCTCACCTGAGATGAATCGTCACCTCAAAACGTTTATACGAAATGGAAAGCGTTAGCCGAACAACTTCCGTTGCTGTAAGAAACTGCAATGTCTAGATATTTGTATTGAGACAACACGATCTCGACCGAAATTTACGGTTTTTGCGATGCGTCAATGAATGGGTACAGCGCCTGTCTTTTCGTTCGTTCTACCGATTCGTTAGGACTGTCAGGCTAGTTTGTAGCATATTCAACGTCGCTTCATTGAGTCATTATATAATCCCTCGACTAGAGCTAGCTGGTGCTACGCTATTAATGATTATCTACGTCAAATCCAAAGATCAGCTGGGTTTCCCTGTCGAGCGAGTGAGCTTCTGGTAGGACTCCATGACAGATTTATGCTGGCTAAAAAAAGCCCCTTATGTGTTAGAAACATATGAGTTCAATAGAATAATGAACATCAAGAAATTAGGTAAAGAGGTCGAATGGAGATATATCCGATCAAAGGAGAACCCAGCTAACTCGCTATCTCAAGGACAGTTACCTAATGATCTTCTAAACAACGATTTCTGGATTTTAGGTTCTCGATAGTTGACTTTATCTGAGAAAAACTGGCTTCAACCGCCAATCACCTTTCTTCCGAGCAACCTTCAAGGTTTCAAGAAAGGAATAATCTTGGTTACCACTTTTTTGGAAGTGACATCCATTCTAGGTTTTTTGTTTACGGTTGCTTAATTGCTTGTTTAGGTCATTCCGAAAATCGGTAAATCGTGGAAGGCTGTCCGATATCTTTCTCTAGTCAAAATAGCTTATGCTGAACGTCTCATTCTCTTTGTAATCTTTAAGCTACTCCAATCTGCTAAAACTAAAACGTCCGGAATACTTCACGGTACCCCGTTTTAAATAGTGATAGTTTATTAGAGTAGGAAGATGGTTAAAGAATTCTAATCTTCCTTTCAACCAAAAGCATCCACTCTTGCAACCACTGAATCATCTCATGTCAGATCTTAATATTCGTGATGCTCATCATCTAAATCTTTAACATGGAATTCAATCTAGTCTTTACTCGATTCGTGAGCATTTCTAGATTTTAAATTGAAAGAATCAAATTAGACACGTCTTACACCAATGCGTTCCGTGCATTAAGCAGAAACCAAGGTTCCCTCATTCCAAAATGACTGACTTACTAGCATATAGAGTAGTTTACAGCGTCGGATGTGCCAATATCGTACTGTAGATTTCTTCGGCCCAATCTTAATTAAAGAGAAGAAAGACCGGTAATCGTAGTTTTATTAAAGCATACGGCTGTGTCTTCGTGTGTATAGCTTCCAAGACTGTTCACGTTGAGGTAGCTTCCGATTTCTCTACTCAGGGCTTTCTAGCATGTTTTCGTCGATTCATCAACGTTCGTCGTGAGCCACGGGTTATGAAATCCAATAACGGAACGAATTTCATAGGAGCGAACAACGAACTCCAAAAAATCTACAATCTGCATGCGACACCGAAATTTAGAGATGCAATTCAGAACTACGCCGCTAACAAGTGTATTGAGTAGTTCAACCCAACCCAATCCACCTCTCTCCACAATTCGGTGGATTATGGGAGGTCGCGGTCAAAAGTTTTAAGCATCATCTAAACCATGTGATGAAAGATCAAACGCTCACCTACAAGTAAGTTGACGCTTTACTAAAGGCAATCACTGCCTTATTAAATTCCCGTTCATTGTACGCGAACTCCGTGGATCCCAACGACGCGCTAGCTATAACACGTGCGCATTTTCTAATTGGGCGTCCATACAATCTTTTACCCGAATCTGATTTTGTTTCAGTTCCTAACAAATGCTTATCCATCTACCAGATCATCTCCAAGACAGGATTTCTGGAAAAGATGACAAAGAATATTTGCACAAACTGCAAGTTCGCCAAAAATAACTAACTTTTACCGTCACTTTGACACTCGACTCCGTAGTCATGTCAATGGGGGAAAATCCTGCCTGCGCAAGATGGCCCCTGGGCGTGATCGTCGAGATTGGGAGTGATGGCATCGCTAGGGTAGCAACTATCAGAATAGCATCTGGACTTTTCAAATGGAACATTACTCGATTCTGCGTCTTACTCTTAGATTAGGACAGCACGCTCCCGTTAGGGTCTCCGCAATCCTTCTAAACACGTGATTGCCCCAGATGTGTACTCGGTGGATTGCCATAAAAGAGTCGAATCATCGGGTATTCTAGAAAAGCATTACGAAGCCAGGTCCGAGAATGGTAAAGTTCAGATAACTCTACAACCAGAAGATCAGGGGAGTATCCTCTGATGCGCGATACCTGGGCACACCAGGTCCTTAATCGTTACGGAGACTCTAGCCTATAGCTAGGTTTATAATTGACCTGTGAAAGTGCAAATAGAATCTATATTCTACTTTATACCAGTAAATACGTTGAATTTTAATTCTAATTAACGAGGCAATCTCTCCAGCGCAAATTGACTTTTCCAAGTCTTCTATTGATCCAACCGTCCTGCCAAAGCTGAAAAATAGATTTAATGATTTATTCATTATAATTCATTCTGTTAAGTCTAACACTGCTCTATTATTGTGATTCAAACTAGTTTCATAGCCAATACCGGCAGTATGTTAGGTCATAACACCCCCTATAAATTAATTTACCTATGCGCCTGCGCGCGTATTGAGTATGTATGTATGTATAAGTAAACAGAGCCAGAGCCCAAAAAAATCTAGCGTGGTGGCAGCACAGCCCGGTGCTGCCGCTGCTATCAATTCGGTTCATGACTCATCGCTGATTTTGCCGGCAGTCGTCGACGAATTTCGTCACACGTGTAGAGCTTCCTCGTGATCTCTGCAGTTTCTAACTAGCGGGTAAGCATGATCTTCACTTATCAATCGTATTCATCGAATATAGTTTATCTCAATTAAACTTAATTATTTATCAGTCAAACTGTATGCGTGTAGTGGATTCGCATTTATATAACATCCCGCGAAATCTTATCGTTTACTCTGAGCACAGACAGCTTTTCAGAATCGAATAAAATTTCCATCACCAAGGCTTTCGTATCACAACTCCTGCGTCTCTTATATCTTTAATATACCTTATTACTATCTTAATACTTGATTGAAAGGAAGGTTTTAAAGATACCGTGTTATAGTTTTTGCTAGGTTTGGTGCTTACTAAACCACGAGTAGCTTCGCCTTTATGTAAGATCCCACAAAATCAAATTATCTTATCGTTTACTCTCAGCTCAGAGAGATTTCCAGTATCGAATTAAATTTCCGTTATCGTTTTTTCCGGAATGCCAAATGCTGCCTCTTTTATCATTCTAAGATAAGATAATCCGTAAGTCTTAGTACAGTTATAGTCGTCTGAGCAAGCCACCATTCAATTACGTATATTTTAAACTATTGACGGTTGTGGGGGACTGACATTTTTTAAACTAGTGAAGCGGTTGTAGCGTAACTTTCATCTCGAAATAACATTGTTTAATGGACATACTTTCAGACATACATCAATTAAATTCTCGAAATAAAAAAAAAATTCAATGGATCAGCGTCAGTATTCTAGTATAATATATACTTCAAGATATAATAAGCCTGTAGCCTATGTAGACGATTATAACAATATATGTCTTTCATTAGTTGATTTGATCGAAGGTCTTGAAAGTACCCTATTATAAGTTTTGGCAATTGCGGTGTTCATTCAAACTAGAGAAGATTCGCATTTATTTGAGATCCCGCGAAATCGAATTATCTTATCGGCTATATTGAGCACGGAGAGCTTTTTAGTACAGAATGAACTTTTCCGTCGCCGTGGCTTTCAGAATACCAAATCCAGCGTAACTTTTCATTCTGAGAGAAGATAATTCGTAAGTAATAAACGA